ACTGGGACCGCTTTGTGGAGTTTCCAGTTGGTTTCATATGGCTGTGGGTGAAAAATAGGTACCCCAAAGACCAAAACCTGCGGTCCCCTGGTGGTTTAGTTTTGACCCATACCCATATAACCGTCCCGAAATAACTCAGACACATCATTTGGGTGAGGCAGGGATATCCCCTTTCAAGTGCTAGCGTGTCAGTGGGCTGAGAATCAACCGCACTGGCACAAGGGTCATTTCGCAGGACCACATACACTTACACACCTACAAGCATGAACCCAGGTCCCAGTTGGCTTACCTCGCAAGCCGCGCCGCGAGCCCCCGCCCCCCCACGCCCGACGTGTCTGTAGGTTGTTGCGGCAGGATGCCTTCGGAAGCGTCGCACCGCCCATGGACCTCGTGGCCTACAGCAGCGCGATCCGCGCCTGCGCGGAAGGCCATGGCTGGCCCTTCGCCTTGCAGCTGGCCGAGGAGCGCCCTCGAGTTCGGTTTGGTGCGGGAGATTTGAATGGCCATGGCGGCTTCCCGTGGTCTCGGCCCCTCCTTTTCTTCCAGTCGAAATGACTATTTTACTGATCACCTGAAATATCATATTTCTTTTTCCAGGGGGGCTGGAGGATGGGTGTGTCCCCTTTTCAGGGGAGCCTCTCGCCCCCTCCCCCCCTCCCCCCCTCCCTCCCTCCCTCCCTCCCTCCCTCCCTCCCTCCCCCCTCCCTCCCTCCCTCCCTCCCTCCCTCCCTCCCTCCCTCCCTCCCTCCCTCCCTCCCTCCCTCCCTCCCTCCCTCCCCCTCCCTCCCCCTGATGCACCAACTTGTATCAACCTGTTCAATCTACCATTTATTTTTTTTAACTCAGGGGCAGCCCTCCGCTCCCCCTCCCCCCCCTCTCCCCTCCCCTTTTTCTGCCCCCCCCCCCCCCCACCCCTCCCCCATCCCCTCCGCCCTCCCAGCCCTCCCCGGAGGACTTCCGGGTCTCCGAGTCCAAGCCGAACAACATCCTCTGCAGCGCAGTGCTGGCGGCCTGCGCGCAGGGCGCCAGGTGGGCGGAGGCCTTGCAGGCCTGATCGGACGGAGCGGAAGGGGGGGGAGGTGGGAGTGGCCCCTTGTCACTCCTAGAGCTGGGGGCCGTGATTTTGGTTCTGTTTCTGGGGGTTTGGGCCCGCACCCCTTGATAGATGTCTCAAACAAAGCCTCGGTTTGCGCGTCTCCAAAAAGGGGGACCTCAAAATTGAGGAAGCCTCTTGGTTCGTTTGCAAAAAAGACACGATTGTATCTTCAACATACTGTGGATGGACGAGCTCCTGCACCACTCTGACACCACCGTTGAAACCACAACCTTCGTTGGTATTTCCAGGGGGAAATAGCAACAACCAGTTTTTTTTGGGCATAGCTGCGATTTCTGGATGTCGCAGCCATCCACCTAGTGACACCCCTTTTGGTCTTTGCTGCGCGCTCGCCTTTCCCTCCCCCCCCCCCCCCCACCGCCCCAACCGCCGGCCACGGAGCGCTCGGAAGGCGCTGCGTTGGCTGGAGCCGGACCTGGTGACGCTGACGGGGGCTGTGGCGGCCTGCCGAGCCGCCGGGCAGTGGGCCAGTCCCTTGGCGGAAAGTCTGGCGAGTCGCTTCAGGAATATTTTTTGTTTTATTTTCCCTTGTTGGTTTTAAAAATAATTTATGACCCAAATGGGTATGGGTCAAAATGCCAGCATGGTCGAAGGGATGGTCTAGGAATGGACAGGTGCATCAATCTTGCCTTTGGTGCATTTTGCTAAGGGATGTTAGGACCTAAACTTTTTGCCAACTAGTGGGTTTTCCGAATTAAATCACTAAAGTTAAACACTTTCAGCAGGGGAGCAGAAAGCAGCCGAGAAGGTCATGGACTTTGGGTCACGTTTTGGGGTTTTGGACTCTTTGGACCATTTTGGTGGCAAACGAACAGGTTCGGGAAGTTTGTGGGCTTTCGTCACTTTTGGGATCTCCAAAAGTGGTCTGAATCCCACCTAAAACCAGGAACACCCCCACATTGATAATATGGGGTCAACATCAGCGGTAAACAAGCAGTTCGTGTACCTTTTTTGGGCCATCCACTCAGGAAGTGAGACGACGAAGACCAAACAAACCAATCAACAAATATCCGAACAGGCACGCCTACCAAGAATTAACCAAAGTGGGCACCCTTTTTTGTTGGTAAGCCACAATAAACCAAACGTGGTTTCCCGTTGAAACCTACCAACAAGAAAAGGGCACTCGCTTTAAGCATTCGGGTGTACTGCGAGCCCACCCAATGACGAGGCACGCTGTCTTGCCCTCATGCCTGCCTGTTTGTTGGGAATTATCCTTCTCAGCGGGTGTGGGTGGCGGGCTTGCCTAGGTGTTGCTTTGTGCGAAGGCCAGCTTGGCCTATTGCTTAAGTGGGCATGTGTGCTGTTCCCTGTTTCCTGTGGCGCATGTGCTCGGTGGATGCACTCAACAGAACGTACGCTCCCTGTGATGCGTGTGCTTTTGGTGGACGCGCTCAAAAGGGCGTTCCCCGTGGCGGTCTGCGCTTGAGAGGGCTTTCCATGTCCGAACGCGGACAGCAGAATACAGTGCCGTTGTTGATTCTGAAAAATCGGCAGCTACGACAGCAATGACGGCGATCCCACACAGCACGCGAAGCGACCCCAGCCCAAAGAGAAGCGCCTCTTTTCGCCATGTTTCTCAAAGATGGCAGACAGCAGGCATCAGAAATCAGCCCCGAACACAAAAACAGAGAAGCCTAAACATGTACCTGTGTATATTCTATGTATGTATACATATTTATGTATATATATATATATACATATCATACGTACATACACACACACCAACATATATATATATATATATGCATATGTACATGTACATATATGTATATTTATATCTGTATGTATATATGTATGTACAGATGTGTGTATAGTTAGATCAAACCACACAGGCCATTCCCCCCCTAGCCCAAAAACCCGGCAGCTCTCCCAAAAGCTGCGAGGGGCGCTGCAGCTTCTCGCCGAGCTCCCGCGGCGGAGTCTGCGCGCGGACGCCGTGGCGCTCGGCGGCGCGGCGGCGGCGTACGTGGAGGGCGCCCAGTGGCAGCGCGCGGCCACGCTGGTGGAGGCGCGGCCCAGGGGAAAGCCGCAGGAGGGACCACCGGGGGATGGAGGAATTTGTGGGTTTTACGGGGAAGCCAAACGGAAGGCCAGCATTTTGAATTCGTTCGCACCACGACTTTGAATCATGGCTGAAACCATATCGTTTGTTGTTATTTACAGGGGAATCTTGATGGTGCGAAATTGAATTCGTCCATCCACAGTATGGGTGTGTCTTGAGAGTACCCCTTCTTGGGTGGTTTTCAAGGGGAGCCAAAAAGGAAAACCACCACGTTGGTGTCCCTTCAATATTTTTTTCCGGTGTGTGTGTGGGTGTGTTTTGGTACATAGGTGGGACGCCGAGTTTTCGGGATGTGGGGTGGGAGCTTGGGTCCTTTTTTTTCTCACTTCTTCTCTTTTTGTTTCTTCTTTTTTTTCTCCGTTTTTTCTTCTTTTTTATGCCAAGCCCGACACCATTTGTTCGCCGAGGAACAGGCGGCGTGGGCAGTTCCCAACGCGCAGATGCTCTACAGCCTGCTCCACGCGTGCCAGCGCGTGGGTCTCTGGGCCCAAGGAGTCGCGTTCCTGACGCAGCTCCGGAGGCTTGAGGCGCGGCGCCCGGGGGTTGTTCCATGGGACTTCCCCCCCCCCCCCCCACCCCGAAGATGGCGTCGGATGTTCTTTTTTTTTTTGGGGGGGGGGAAATGGCGTGGGTCTCTTTTGAATGCCTTAAACCCAAAGGGGGAAAACTGGACCCCCCCCACCCCCCCAACCTGTGATTTTCGCTCATGTGGGAGCGGCGGTTTTGGGAGTTTGTTTTTTTGGCTTAGCAGGGGAACCAAAAGGAACACCACAGTTGTTTTTGGTCCAGATATTTTAAACATACCTATCTACAAAGATGGTCTGGGACTTAGCTGGATGGTTGGTAATCTTGGTTGGAACCACTTGAGAAAGTTACAACCATGTTCGCTGGGTTATTTCAAAGGGTTCCGAGCAACTTAGCTAAGTCCCGGACCATCTAAGTGCGTGTCGCCTGAGTGCGTGTTTAAGACTTCACCTAGTCGATACTTTTGCGGGCTTGGTGGCTGCAGGGCTGTTTGCTGACCAGCGGCAAAAAGAATCACACCCGTTGGAAAGGCCGATTGAAAGGGGGGTCTTGCTCCAGGGGTGATGTCTTTAAGAAAGGAGCCTGGTTTTGTTTGGTGTAGTTTTGCAGCCATATTGGGGTTCCAAAACGAAGGCGCAGAAATCCGCGAGGTGCAGCCGGATGTGGCGTGCTTCCGGCGCTTGATCCACAGCTGCGGGGAAAGCTGGCAGTGGCAACAAGCCCTGGCCTTGCTGTACGTGATGCGAACCACGGAGGTGAAAGAGGAAATTGATCGCCAGAACCAAAACGGCAGATCTGGGGTTGGGAAATTTCCCCCTCCCCCTCCCTAGAGACCCTTCTAAGAAAGTAAGGTGGGACGGGGGGGTTGACCTCCTCCCTAAATTGGGGAACCTCAAAGCTAAGGGTCGACTCTCTGTGGCTTCCCTTTTGTATCAATCCGAAAAGGGTGCAGTCATTTGGACCTTGGAAGCAGCAGGACCTCCCACCACTGTCCCCTCGCAGCCACAATCCAAATATGGATAGATGAACGCAGCTCATGTAAGCACTCAGTTGGGTGGCCGCACCCATGTCCAGCTGGGACTGCTCTGCTCGTATGGTTTGGGACCGCGTTTTTGGGTGACCCACTTTGTTTTGGGTTCTTTACACTGGCTTGTTAGACCTGCCTTGCTGGTTCTCAGGAGATCAACAGCTTTTGTGAGAAGGAACCAAAATGGCAATGCATTGAAATGGGGACGCACCCCAAGTGAACCTGTTCCGTTTAGGATGTCCAGCAAGCAGTCCCGAAGTAACATTGCCCAGGTGGAATACCCCAGGATGCCAAGGAGGTCATCTATGCGGCGAGCCTGGGGTTTTCGCTGAAATTTTCGGCTTTCGGTTTTCGAGTGGTGGGGGTTTGGGTTTGTGTGCCTCGTGTTCCAGGCATACGCAAAATTAGCGCCCCACCCTTGTCACATGGAATCTTGGAGGCCCAAGCTGGGCCCCCCCCTATCAGGTTCCATGTTAATTGGTGGGAGGGTAGTGCCCCTCAAATAAATCACCCGAAATGTTGACACCTGAAATGACACATGGGTATGGGTCCAAATTAAACCACCAGGCCGCAGGTTTAGTCCATGCCTCCATTTACCAGGGCAAGCCATTTGGGATGCCTGTTTGCGAGCCACACCCACACTCACACTCAGAAGGACCCGAACACAAAGGCTGCTTTGCGGTGGCAAGGTCCAAGAGGGGTCGATTTGCTTTACCGCCGGGGTTGCCATTTTTCCCGGGTGATCAATAGAAAGGATCCCTGGAAGGTGGGCGAGCCATTCTGACTGTTGCAGATGAATCAGCGTGCCCAGAAAGTTGGCCGCCCCTTTTTGAGGTAACCTCTCCACACCCTCCAATGGAGATGCACACCCCTCCAATGGAGGGTCCGGTGATTAGGCGCACCAAAAAGCACCCATCCATTTCGAGAGAAATCTCCCTCTGGGTCCCGAGCGAAGGCCAGCAACTTGCTCTGGGCTTGCAAAAGGCGTCAGGACATGAGGCTTTGCGAAGCAGCCGTTGATTTTCAGGTGTTGGCAAGCTGATGCCCCGCGTGCTGGCAACCAGCTAGATGAATCCGCGTAAATGGAAATTGAGTTAGCCCAGATTCTCTGACAGGAAACGCCTAAGTGACAAAGTTGTGATAGAGAGTTTCTCCGCTTTCGTCTCTCAGAAAGTGTTAGTTTGTGAACCATGTGGGCAAGCGACGTGCATATATCTGGCTGTGGGTCAAAAATATGTACCCAAAATGTAACCCTGGTAAATGGACACTTGGACTACAACCTGCGGTTTCCTGGTGGTTAGTTTTGACCCACACCTGAACCTTCCTTTCCGTGCCAGCTCCATCAGAAGCCCGACCCAGAGGCCAGGGTTGTGGTGCCGGGCGGATGACCGGGCCGGGTAGGATAGGTAGGGAATGACCAAGTCCTGGTGTGGGGATTGAATGAACTGGAAGTCCGGATTCCCTTAAAGGACACCACATCGGGGATGGTTTGTTTTCAGGGTCATTCCCTTAAAGGGAAACAATATCGCAGGGGTCATTTCATTTCTCATTCCCTGCATCTCTCGAACTGATCGCAAGACAAGCTCTTTTGTGAAGGTCTGTCGCCTGGAATAAGGAAGAGTTATCAGCTAAGGATCTGATTATAGATGAGATTTCATTGGGAATGCACAATGCATATTAACATGTGAGCGGACATGAAGAGTACAATTGACAAGACACAATACGAGTCATTAATATAGATCAAAGAAAATCACCACTCCCCATGACTTCTCCAACTGGGGGCAACACCACAATGGGTTTGACTTGGGCGTCCCTTCAGATCCCTTTCAACAAATCACACACCTGGCCCAGTGCGAGGCCCGGGAACTAAATGCGTTCAGGATGTGCGCCTGATGTACAAGTACACGCGCGGCACCAAGCCTCCACTCCTCGATGGGACACATCATGGCGCTTTGTTTTTTTTGAGATGTGTTTTTCACTTCAAAGGGGAAGCGCACGAAGCCAAGGTTTGATCACTTCATCTCACATGTACTTGGCTTCACCTCAGCTTGTTGTGGAATCCCTGAAGTCCTGTGGCTTTGATCGCGGCCCGAGGCACAACAACTTCAACCCCGGGGAGCGTGGCTCGGCTTGCGATTCAGCCGAGAGAAAGGGCTTGAACACCCACCCAACCGCATCTCCAGGTCTTCGGGTGACCTCCTTGGAAAAGGATTCCTCAGCAAAATTCGAAAAATCTGAATACCCTCCCACTACAAAGCTGGCAGCTTGCTTTTGAGAAGCGACATGGTCCAAGGCGCCCCTTTTTCGCCGAGGCGATGGGGTTTCGACTTTTGAGTACATGAGGAAAGCCTGGTTTCCTTTCGGCTTCTCTTGCGACACCCTGAAAAAGCGGGGAGCCGGCAGCCCAGATTTTCGTAGCTCGCTGATGCGAGGCAACGATCTCGAAAAAATGAAGGTCCCTTCACAGATTCCTGAATTCATGTGGGGGAATCATGGTACTTTGTCTAGATTTGACGCATGTCTGGCTTGGGTTTTGGCGCTCGCAATAACCAAATGAGCGCTCCTTGGAGCTACGATCCCCTTTGGATGGCTTACAGTGCCACAAATAACGCCAGGCTTTTGCTTTTCTCCAAGTGACGCCACAAGTGATACTCGTTTCATTCTGTACTGCTGACTTCGGATTAGTCTGGAGGACCATATGAATTAGGGCAATAGGAACCATATGGTCTGGACTGATCCCAGATTCAGATGCACCAAAAACGACCCGAGGAGGTCCACAAGTGTCTTATCATGGGGCCAGGGGGGAGGGAGCTCTTATCAAGCCCTTAACGAAGCCTTATTTGCGCTCCTTTGTCCAGGCCCCTGATCTCAGTACTGAAACCGAAGTTTTTCCACTGATGCAGCGGCTTGAGGCATCGAGCGCAGCTACCGGTGGCCCTCGGAGACGAGGGACCCAAGCTCCGTTTTTCGTTTGATCAAGCGAGCGCCGGTAAGATGAGCTCACAAGGTCCTTCAACTTGGGGATCCCTGAGGCTTTAGAATAGTAAAGTTGCGGATGGAACCCATTTCCAAGAGGAAAGTAGCCCAGGGACAGTGCACTTCCGAGTTTGGCGAGGGCCAAATCAGGTCAGCATCTAAATAAGGCCCTAACCAAGTCCCATGGTCCGGCGAAGGAGCTGTGCGAAGTATCATTTTTCCCGTTGCCTAGATGGTGGTTCTCCCATTTCGAGACAAGCTTGATTATTATTTGGAAGGATCCTGAAAAAAGGAAGACATCACGCAGTCAACTTCCCCTGTTTCCGACCTTTTGGATGCTCCAGTGGCAACTCCAACAATGTGTCACTGATTCAGGGCTCCGCCAAGGGGAGCCATTGCAGCCTATTCGTGACTAGTGACGAATGGCGCACCATCCATGAACATGAGCTTCCCTCACTACTGCATAGCTCTGAGTCACTACGGGACACTGGGAGGTAACGCATCATCTTTCGAGGCTCCGCGGAATTTGCGGGTCGATACGTAGGCCTTTGCCAGGTGACTTGTGACAGTTAGTTTGGTTGCGCGCTGCTTTTGTTTTCGACTCAATTGCAGCTTGCTTAGGCTTGCAAGCACCAAAGATCCACCCAAAGGCTGTGATCATTGACTCTCTGAAGACATGTTTGCTTTTGGTTCCTGCTCTGACATTGAGCCGGTTGTTCTTTCTCCCCAAACTGGACGTTTTGGGAGACCATCAACAGTTTTTTTCGACCTTTGTTTTGGGCCTCTCAACCAAACGGCAAGATGAAGGCCACAAATTGTTTCGGCCCATAGACTGGGTAAAATGGAGACCCAGCAACATCTTTGGGGTTACAACGAACGGTCCCCCCGCCCCGATTCCGATTTACCAGTTTTCGGCACGGCTCGCGGGCGTTTTCGGACTGCACGCACGAGAGGAAAAGAACTTCCGCTTCGGGCACGGGGAAGGAGTGCCGCAGGAGTGGGTGGGGACTGAGTGAGTTCGTTGGCGCAATTCTCGTCATGTGAACTCATGTGGGTGTGGATCAAAAGTAGGTGCGGAACATGGAACGTTGGTAAATGGAAACAAGGACTAAAACCTGCGGTCCCCTGCTGGCTGAATTTGGTCCCATAGCCATGTGGGTAAGTGAAGGGGATGACTAGGCCGGGCAATGGTGCCATCTACTTTTACCCAACTGTAATCTGTAAGGAGATAGCGGGTTGTGGCCCTTTCGGAATCAAATGTTGCCTGGTGCCAGGTGTCAGACTTCTGGGCTTGTGTAAATCCGTCAAGCTCGCTGAAGTCTCTCTTAGCAGCAGGTTTCTTGCTTCCTAAACCGGCTCTAAAGAAGGGGTTTCAGCTTGCCGCAAGTTTGCCCATCATGTGCGTAGCATCCCGCAAAGGGTCACCCCCTGCGGAAGAGGCTGCGTTGGTCGCCCTGTAGGTGCATCGATCCCTAAGCGAAGCTGCCATCCTTTGCCAGGAGGGTGCCGGAGCGCGAATGGCGGTTGCCTCGGATGGTTTTGAAGCTCAGCTTCCAAACCCGAAATGGATTCTTTCTCCAGGAGATTCCGTCCATGCTATTCTGCACGGGAGAGGACATGGCAGAACTCATTTTGACGGTGCTTTGGAGGATTTTGATTTTTCCGGGTTGGGTGTGTGACAGCCAATTGGATTGCTGTGATTGGGGCGAGTTGGCCTGCCCAAGAAACTGGAACTAGGGCCTCAAATGCGCTTTCTAGGGAAGCGGGGAAGACTTAACACAGGCATGTGCACGTTAAGGTCGAGCACCCAGCCTTTTCCTTGGCAGGTACGGCTCGTAGGTGAATCCCTGGCCATGGAAGCCGGGAGGTAACTGCCTTGATGTTTCTGGTCTGGCTAGTTCCATTGCGGCTGAAGGGTTTCGATTTGCGACGGCCCATGAAGGTACACGGTAAAACGAGCAAAAGCCATGAGCCTCCCTTCCAAGCGAACTTCAGGTTCCGTGAACGGCCCCCAGTCTTGACCATGGGTACCTTTTCCCATGTGGTGAAAGTCATATATGCTTTTCCCATGTGGCGAAAGTCCCTTTTCCCATGTGGTGAAAGCCACATATATATATATATATCACATATATATATATATATCCATTTTCCCTTTATTTTAATCGGGGCTGGTTTCCATCATGGTCACCCCATGTTGTCAGGACCTTTTGATCAACGCCCCCCAGTGATTGCAAACGGCCGTGAAGGCGCTGAACTGGGACGTGGAGGATGATGGTGCGCGTGTCGGGAGCGGAAACTGTGAGCCAGTGAACTGATTGAAGCAGCAGCTCAGCTTGTAGCTCAAATTCTCTTTTTTTTGCCTGTATTCTGGGGTAGTCCAAGATAGCAGACCACATTTTTCCCCAACAGCTGAAAGCTTTGGGGTCTCAGCCCAGATAGGCTCCGGGGTGGTCCGGGGTGGCCCGAGGTAAGGTTCCACGAGGGTTCCACGAGGGTTCCACCGAGGGCTGCGGGGTGGTGCGAGCACTAAAAAGAGCACCGCATGTTGGGGATGTCACCTGAGCTTGCCCTTTACTTTGAAGCGGACTGGGCCAGGTACCGTGAAGAGGACCCGGCTCGTGCAGAAGAACGTGGAGGCCTCGAGCGACTGGACCGAAGTCTGTCTCGAAGGGGGCCCTTGTCGACTGGTTTGAAAGCGAAGCCAAGTGTGACCACCAAATTTTTGAGGAGTCCCTACTCAAGGCTCCTTAACAAATACGTTTTGCCTATTTGAAACATGGCTTTTTCCACCAAATTAGAGGGAAACCACCATTTACAAGGCAATGTAAGGATCCCTGCTACTTGATGAAGCAGAATATTTTGCTTCTTCCCATCTAACCAATGGGGTACCCTGGCACTTTGCAACAGAGCTGGACTGGCCAAGGGTCGTTCCAGAGCCTCAAGGTTCACTCGACGGGGTGATTTAACACCCTGCTCGGGGCTTTCCGAGCTGCCAAACAATTTGATGCCCAGAATCTAGACGCGTGCTTCAGGCAGGGGATGCTCTTCTTACAACCATCTTGCTGGAGCCAAAGATGGGTCTGTTTTGGTTTGAGGGTACCCTTTTCTAGGGGTTGGTCTCAAAGGGAAGCCAAAAAATGGAAACCAGTCACCCCAAAAAATGATCCACCCGGATCGATGAACCAATGCGCTGCTTCCGTGCAGTGATCCGCACAGTTGGAGTCGTGCAGTGTCGGTCGCCACCCCGACATTTTATTATTATTATTATTACCAGTAAAGCCGGCAAGCCGGGTGGCGGAAGTTTCAAAAATATAAAAACTATAGTTATCTTTCTCTTTCTTTTCTTGACTCTTTTTCTCCGTCATTCTTCATTTCTTCCTTTCTTTCCTTCCTTCCTCCCTTCTTTCCTTCTTTCTATCTGTCTAATATTTTTCTTTCGTTTGCTTGTCTATCTATCTTTCTCTACCTATCTATACCTAACTACCTGTCTATCTATCTCTCGTGTTATCTATCTATCTGCTTATCTATCTATCTATCTATCTATCTATCTATCTTTCTATCTTCTCTATCTATCTCTCTATCTATATCTACCTATCTCTCTATCTCTCTATCTATCCATCTCTCTATATCCCTCTATCTCTGTCTCTCTCTTTCTCTATCTGTCTCTCTATCCCTCTTTCTTTCTATCTTTCTATCTCTCTATCTCTCTTTCTTTCTATCTATTTATCTCTCTATCTCTTTCTCTATCTCTTTCTATCTATCTATCCATCTATCTCCCGCGTATCTATCTATCTATCTATCTATCTATCTATCTGTCTATCTGTCTATCTGTCTATCTGTCTATCTGTCTATCTCTCTATCTATCTATCTCTATATCTCTCTGTCTACCTATCTATCCATCTCTCTCTCTCTCTCTCTCTATCTGTCTATCTCTCTATCTATCTATCTATCTATCTATCTATCTATCTATCTATCTATCTATCTATCTATCTATCTCTCTATCTCATTATCTCACGTGTATTTATCCATCTCTCTATCTATCTATCCATCTGTATTTCTAATTATCTATAGATCTACCTATCTATCCATCTCTCTATCTACCTCTTTTTCTACCTATCTATCTATCTATCTATCTATCTATCTATCTATCTATCTATCTATCTATCTATCTATCTATCTATCTATCTACCTCTCTATCTATTTATCTATCTATCTATCTATCCATATATTTATTTTTATATCTATCTACCTATCTATCTATCTCTCTCTATCTCTGTTTCTATCTATTTATGTATCTCTCTATCTGTCTGTTTATCGTTTATCTATTTGTTTATTTATCTCTCTATCTATCTATCTATCTAGCTATCTATCTATCTCTTTTTCTTTCTATTTATATATCTCTCTATCTCTCTCTCTCTCTATCTATCTATCTATCTATCTCTCTCTCTCTCTCTATCTATCTATCTATCTCTCTATCTCTTTATGTCTCTCTCTCTGTCTATGCATCTATCTATCTTGCTCTCTCTCTCTCTCTATCTATCTATCTATCTATCTATCTATCTATCTATCTATCTATCTCTTTCTCTATCTCTTTCTATCTTGACTTCGCGTACTACTTTCGTACTTAAAAGTTGCGATTTTCGAGCCCCACTGCGAAAGTGGACCTCACGTACTACTTTCGTACTTAAAAGTTGCGATTTTCAAGCCCCAGCTGCGAAAGTGGACTTCACGTACTACTTTCGTACTTAAAAGTTGAGATTTTCGAGCCCCAGCTACGAAAGTGGACTTCGCGTACTACTTTCGTACTTAAAAGTTGCGATTTTCAAGCCCGGCTGCGAAAGTGGACTTCGCGCACTGCTTTCGTACTTAAAAGTTGCGAGTTTCAAGCCCCAGCTGCGAAAGTTGACTTCGCTTACTACTTTCGGACTTAAAAGTTGCGATTTCTGAGCCCCGGCTGCGAAAGTTGACCTTGCAAAAGTGCTGCGCCTGCCACGAATTCTGCACTCGACCTTGCGAAAGTGCTGCACCTGCCACGAAATATGTACATGACCTTGTGAAAGTGCTGCGCCTGCCACGAAATATGCGCGTGACCCTGCGGAAATGCTGCCCCTGCCACGAAATATGTACTTGACCCTGCGATGACGCCCCTGCCACGAAATCTGTTCCTGACCTCGCGAAAATGCTGCCCCTGCCACGAAATCTGCATGCGCCGCCTTGCGCGTCCGTGCCAATGGGATTTGCGATGCGTCCGTGCCAGAAGTAAGAAAATGCCACGCCTGTCACGAAATCTGCACTTGACCTTGCGAAAGTGATGCACCTGCCACGAAATCTGTACCCGACCTTGCCAAAATGCTGCGCCTGCCACGAAATTTGAACCTTGCGAAAGTGTGCGCGTCCGTGCCAATGGTCCCGGCGCGAGCCCGTCCCGAGCCCGTCCCGAGCCCGTCCCGAGACCGTCCCGAGACCGTCGCCGTCAGACGCCACGACCGGGGTAGCTTTCAGCCAGCCGGACCAAAACCCGCAGAGGGTTGCACTTTTTGCAGATTTCTATTCCCCCGCCACACGTATACGCACGTTTTCTCGCATGCATTCATTCTTTCTTCATCTCATGTTTGCGCAGAGCTACCTTTCAATTTGTTTCCGTAACTCGGAAGTTTCCTTCTAAACTTCCTTTGATTATTATTATTATTATTCTTATTATTATGTATTTAATATGTAGGGCTCTTCTTCTTAGTGCAGGCCAAAAAAAGTTTCAGCTGTTTTTGGCCAGTGAGCTGAAACAAAGCTACGATGGGGTGTGGGAGGCCCCCTTTGTTTTTGATTGTTCGAAAGGCCTGCGGCGCAGCCGCCTTTTACACGGGGAGACATCAAATTCCATAGGGAAGCCTCCGCAGGCTCCGGGTTTCTCAAGTGTCGTCTTAAAGATGAAAACAGGGTTGGGATTGCTTGTACCATACGTACGCAAAACTAACAAAACAAACAGATGTGAAGGGTTGGGGTGAAATTTGCGAGGAAAGCCTGAAACAGCATATACCTGCGACATGGCAGCATGGGTTCGTGAGGGAGTGGAGGCCACGAATCCAGCCGGTTTCGCTCTGTGCTTGGGATCATATGTGTGGTTTCATTCCTAGGGGGCCTGGCTAAAGGCCTAGGGGTCTGCTTTTAGTTTCCAAAGGCCTCTCGAGTTTCGGAGAGAGCGGACCTCCGCATCCGTTGGCTGAGAGCCAGGACTATCGGAATGTCCAGCACACCAAGGCGAGCTCTGATCTCCACAAGCCGAAGCCGAGATCGTCGGTAGGTCCGGTGGCTTCCGTGTGCTGAAATGTAGTTGTTTTCGTCCATGGCGTTCAAAGGGCACCGATCACTGCTGGAAGGAATAATACTACTATTCATGTGGGTGGGTCTTTGTTTAAATTCCTTTTTTGGGTTGGTTTCAAAGAGAAGCCAAAAAGGACACCAGAATTTGGAGAATCCAATTCCCACTTTTCCTCAACAGCTGAAAGTTATGGGGTCGATAGGCCCAGAAATCGGCGAGGGGTGGTTTGGGGCAGCTTTCAGGGAGGGATCCGCGGGTTCCAGGGAATTCCGGGCAGCCACAGATACCCGGGCGTTTTGCCCCCACTCCCCGCTGGTTTTTTGAAGGGAGTCTATCACTGGAAACATCATGTTTCTCTTTCCAAGGGGATTAAGCAGACGGAGGGGTTCTGTTCAACTTTCTCCCCCGAACGCTTTGGGATCTTCGCGAACTGCTCTCTTTCAGGCAGGGTTCCGAAGGGTTTTAGTGGGGGTTGTCTTGTTGGGAGGAGCAGGTGGAACCGGGAACGCGAAGCATCAAAACAGTTTTGCGAGACTTGACTCACATATGATGGGTATGTCTCTGTTTAGGCCCCCCTCCACAAAAACCATGGGGTTGTCCTTTTGGTTTCCCCAAACAGCGACCAAACAAGTGGACACCAACTCCAAACAAGCACACCTCCCATGATAAGACATTTTGCCTTTCAAATATCAAGCTGTCAGATTTCTGCCGGGTCTCTAAGTCAAGACAGTGACGCCTCACAGTTTTCAGCTTTTTGGGCGTAGATGCATTTTTTTGGTTGGACTTGCGAGGTGGTCCACACACGATGGGTTGGCGGGCAAGCGCTCTTGGCCGAAGGGGCCACATCATCAACCTTTTTGCTGACAGAAAGATGACAGGCCGACCGGATTCGGCAAAAACAAATGAGCCACAATCAAAACCTGGGTAAGTGAATAGTAAGGGACGATCCCAGCCATGAATAGCTGCGGCCGCCTTCTTAGTTCATTACATGGTTCTGGGTGGACCATTTGCCGGGTTTGATTGTGGCTCAAATTGGAAAATCAAGAAACAGACCTGTCAAGAGTCAAGTCGGTCACGTTGTTTGGCGACTTGGCGCGTGACCGGGCCAGTTTTTGATGGCTGAATTGGGACCAGTATTGTTGATCGGTTGTGGGGCAACCCCTGAAATAGCCACCCCTCGACCTTCTCAATCCTTTTGCGGCCTTCTGAGATGGCTTGCCGAGGTCTATCAGAAAGCCCATGCAAAGCAGGGCGTAGTGCCGGCTTCTTTTTCGCGAGCTTCGGGACTGTGCGACATGGACAGAAACGACTGTGCAACTGGAGGGGAGGTAGCTGGTAAACTGATTTCCCTTTAAAGGAACCTTCTGTCAGGTTCCGCGGGAGAGGGGCGGGTATTGGGTTTATCCGGAAGAGCCATGTTTTGACCAGTCAGGGCATGCACATGAGAGCGAACAGGGCACTTGCCTTCTGGTCTCGGTGGCAGAGAAGGCGTATGGCCCAAAAAACCTATATTTGGGGGTGTCTTGAAACGGTGAGCCATTGAATGGGTCGTTACAAGGGATGCCAAAAGAAAGCCAGCCATGGTGAGCGGTCCGCTTCTTCAAGAAGCACCCTTCACTTCGTCTGCTTCTAATCAAGTTGGGTTTGATCTGGAAAAACATGTCAAATCGACCCATGACAATATGGTAAGGTTCAGGGTGGTAGACATGGACGTTTGCAAATATGACATGTCTTTGTTGGTTACATTGCGATCAGGTGCCAAGTGGGGTTGAACATGAGACAATGTAGACTTTGGAATGAGTCTATTGGGCATACAGTTGGGTACGGAAGGACAAGTGCACTCACTTGTCATTTGAATGGAGCGTCTACCAATGCGCATTCTTACATTGCATGGCACTTGCTGAAGCTTTGAGCTGACATGCATATGAAGTGCCTTTACAATTTGCGTATTTGCCGTCAATATTTCTTTACCAGAGCCATGTGCTCCGTTGCTGCGCTGTTTCCGTTGGAGGGCACTCAGCAATGCCCGGCTTCTGCGCAAGGGTCGCTCCACTTGCAGCCCATTTTCGGCGGTCCTTGGATTTCGTTTGTTGCATGATGACAAGCAACACACTTGTGTTGCTTCGAGATGAGCTTCCCTTGCCTCGCCTCCCAACAATAGCCCCCGCGAAGTGACAGCAGTTTCTGTTCTTGCCTTTCAAGACCATCAAGCCCAAGCTGCTGCGCTTTCTTCCCTTTGGGTGTGTCTTGTTTTAGCCCCCCCTTTGAAAAGAGGATACATAAATGGCGGTTTTTCTCGAATTTTCCAACCAACAAGGGTACCAATGCCCCTTTGTTTTCCTAACCCAACCGAAACCCCGCCAGAAGCATGGGCCGCCGCTGGACCCGAACTTCCAGCATGGCGTGAAGCCGCGCGGCGAGCGGTTTTGTGGTGGGGGGGGGTGGTTGAGAGCCTCGACTGGTCCCGAAGAAGTGGGGAGTCAGTTGATTTTGACGCTTTCCTGGGAAAAAAGTCAGAAACTCGGGTGTTGATTACCTTTAACCTGCCACTTAGGGGTGACTTTGATAGTGGAAAAGTACTGCAGGTCATGTGGAAAAAGCGTTTTGAGGCAAAATCATTTTGGGGGTGATGTCATTTTCATGGACCCTGTGGGGTGATGAGCGTGGTTCTGCCAATTTTTAGGCCTAGCTCATCGCTTCGGGGGCAAGACGAGCGATTCCACCCATGATGACGTCCATTTCTTGGCGATCCCTTATTTCATGTTGAGGATCTTTTTGAAACAGAGTTCAGTTATTCTAGGTTGCCATGCCAGGGAGTTTCCTTCAAGTGACACCCAAACCGCAGGGGGACTAGGGTTTTTGGAAAAAAAAACGATGTTTAAAAGAGTGGGATTTGCCAGAGCCAAACACCAATCCGGGGATGCACATTGACTACATCTCCCAAACATCAACGCTTTACAATATTTTGCATATTTTTCCTGTAGAGATGTAAACCAATAATACAACCAGTGTGGAAGCTTAAAATTCAGCCACATATATATTAATATATTGATTAACGATGCTTGGTCGCTCCGAGCTGTCAATCACTAAACGGATACCATAAGGGACGGCTTAGTTTTGGGGTCATTCTCCGCTGAGAACCGGCAACTTGGTGGTTCGGATTGGTGGCTTGGGGATTTGAACCCCTGGATCTTGTAATTGGCAAACCCCCCCCAGAAAGAAACTTCCAAACCACCAATCCAAAGGAGGAATTCAGGGGATTCAAGTCAACAAGTCGAAGGGCTCAAGTCATGCGAAGCGAGTCGCATCCGAGGTCTGGCGTGAGCGATTACACCGCCAAGAGCTGCATCCAGGGGCTGGGACACCCGGAGGGTTACAAGTAAAGCGGCGTCCCACCTCCGTTTTACCTCGCATTCTTTGTTTTGCCATTTGGCAATGGCTTTAGTCCATGTTTCTAGTTTCCAGGGTTCCATTTTGGGCACCTATTTTGGACCCACAGCCATGTTTGTGGCTTGTCACACTTGCCAAGGATAGACATTGGGACCCCCTGCCAGAATGGTTCTCAGGACCCTTCTAAGAGCCCTCTAAGAAGGTTCTAAGAATGCTTCTTGGAGGTGGGGGGGCCCGAGGGTTCTCCCCCTACTTTCAGGATGTTGGTGTACAAGGTGTTTGGGGCCATTTTCCATGTCTGCTGAGCCCGCTCCATCGAATGGGGCCCCTCTGCTTAGGTCTCTGCTGCGGGGAATCAAACACTATGGTTAGTGATTTGCGATTTCATTCATGGATCTACAAGAAGGTTCATCATGTTATTACTATCAACAATCATCATCATCGTCAACAACAACCTTACACGGAAGAACCCCCCCCACAAAGAAAGGAACAACAGAGGCCCCCATGGAATGCCGCTCTCTCAAAATACAGCACAAGCACCAGTGATGGCCCATTGCACCTGACCAGGGCGGACATGTCCGAGTGTCGTCGCTTCTTTTGGGCTAAAGCGTTAACCGTAGGTGGTCGCTTGTCTTGACTCTTAATAAGTATCCACTTGGGCCACCATTTTGGCTCAAGTGGACCTTTTGACATTTGGTCTTGTGATTTGAAATCGTTATACTGGCAGCGCTGGGCCATGGCTGATGTGCCAAATCGAAGGTACGCCAACCCCAGGCCAGACCTGAGGCCAGTGCGTGCCCAAATGGAAGCGGTTTGGGAGCATTTCTTCATGCTATGGACCATCCGAGCTGGCGTGACATGCAGGAGCGAGTACGAGACTCGAACGGCGCTCCGGCTGGACAGCTGCCAGTTCATGTGGACGGGCGTTAGCATGCTGTCCATGGCGAGAAGCCACCAGTGGAACTACGAGGCATCAGATCGTACATCCCTGCTCCAGGATGCAATACTTCAGCAGGTGCCAAAAAGATCCCGATTTTCCATTTCCGTCCTGCTGGGTATCTTTTGCAGCTTTTCAGCTGCGCAGGTGGTTCAGGATAACTTAAGCGACGTCCTCAAGGCAAGGACGCTGCGGGGCGCGGCAGAAGTGCTGGTGGCCAAGTCGGAGGCGCCAAGCGCGTTGTTCCCGAGCTTCAGCATTTGGGGGCGGGTGAAGCAGCACATTTTGCAGAAAAAGAACGTGGAGGAAGCCAAAGACTGGCTGCGCGAACAGAACTTCTTCGTTTCAGCGTATGCTGGACAACTACCCCTGCGAGACCAGGCCGGATGCACACGCAACAAGCGAGATGTGCTGAAGGAGTTTCTGGCGAAGGGTCTGCAAAGTGTCGGCGCCCTGTGCGCCAAGAACATCTTTCGCATCTACACCCGTGCCCGCGTCCCCAAGGTGCTCCTCAAAGAGGACTCCCAGTGGTCCCTGACTGGGCCTGGGGCCCGCAAGTTCTTGAACCTGGCTGCGGGGCGAGAAGCTAGCTTGAACACGGACACGTGCTCCACAGCGGCTTTCGAGCTATACAGCCGCGAGCTGCGCCTGGCCTGGCTGTCCTACCGGAGGGCGGGCACCCGATTGATCAAGCGCTATGGGGCAGAGACACTGGAGGGTCTGGCGCTGGCGAAGCACCTGAGCGACATGTCCACGACAGATGCCTTTCAGTTTCAGTGCTGCGAGTCCATCAAAGCACTGCAAACGTTCGAGCCTGCGCCGCCCGGGTTTCACTTTCCGGAGTGGATGTGGGCCTCCAACGTCCGGCTTCGCGAAAAGACCCCGGACCCGTCCAAGAAGCGATCTGCCGCATGCATTGAGTGAAAGAGAGACCCGGGAAGAGGACTTGGGGCCCCCCGGGGCCTTTTCCCGGGTCTCTCTTTTGAAGTGCGTGCAAGGCGCCGGATCACACGTTTCTTGCCTTTGACGGAGGAGGTGATGGAGGCCAGCTCCTGGGTGCGGACTGGGGGAGACCCACACCGGAGCTCCTCCAGGCCCAGACCACTGCGGAGGCGGCGAAAGCGAAACACCAAGCCAGACAGGCGAAGGGCTCCCTCGAAACCAGGCTGCTCGCGCCCATAGCGCCTCCCTTCAGTGCTTGGCCTAGTCAGGTCCGTGTCGCCATTGAAACTGGGGTCTTCGAGCCGACAACGGCATGGAGGGACTTCAGCATGCCTCACGGACTCCTACCTTGAGGCCAAGGCGGTCATCTCGCTGGGTAGGAATCCCTTCCCGGCGGCCCTCCTGGCAGATCTGCCGGACCTGGAAGGGGTCCCCATGCCAAAGGCGGGGGGCTCTGGTGCGGCGTGCCCAGGTGCCGAGGGCCCTGACAGGCCGCCCACCATCTCCTCAGCCTCGGGCTCTGGCGGGACGAGCTCAGGTGCCGAGGGCCCTGACAAGCCGTCCGCCACCCCGGTGGGCCTGGACCCCTCCGCCCCTGGGTGCCGGACAGGTGCCGATGGCCCTGACATCCGCCCCAGGGGAGGTGAGGGCGATGAGGGGATCGTTTACCCCCCCATCACGGCGGACAACGTCCACGGCGTGGTGGGTAAGGACTACCGGAAGAAGAACTATCCGGTGGAGATGAAGCATGTCTTCTGGGCGCACATGGAGTGTGGCCTGGTCCTGAGCTCCGTCACCCCGTGGGAACTCATCCCGAAGACAAAAGGGGAGACCCGGGGGGGCTACATGTGCAAGTATTGTAAGGGGTACTGGCGTGCCGGGGGAGGGGGCACCCGCCTCCTCCAGATCCGGGCCGGCAAGGCCATCTTGCAGCTGGTGTTGGACGAGCCGCCGGAGGGCCTCTACAGCCGCTGGGTGAAGGAGCGGCTGGAGTACTACCGCCGGGTGGAGCCCTCGGCCCCGTTGCGGGACGTCTCCATCGTGGACCAGAAGGTGCCCAGGTTCAGATTCAGCCAGACCACCCAGACAGGCCACGTCTCCAATGCCATCTGGGAGCTATTCTGCGGAATCCGGAGGCGGCTCGATGACATCGCGAAGGGGGCCGCGTGATGATGCGGGACAACGCCATCTTCCGGCACATCATCCAGGACCGCGACCAGCCGGAACGGATGCGCAGCGCACCCCGCAATTGGGACAGCTGCCGAAGGCGCTGATATCCCCCCCCAGGGAACAGAGCAGGCCCAGACTTGCACCAGGCGAGAGAAATTGGCGCGGCTTGGGCTGATCCGGGGTGCGTCTTGGTTCCCCTCTCTTGCCTGGTTTTCCCTTTTCGGGGCGGCTCCCTGGGTCCCCCCCCTTTTTTCCCCCGTTCCCTCCGTTTCGGGGTTGGCTTTCCGGGGTTTTGGGGGGCCCCCCTGTTGTTTGATTGGGGTTTGCACCTAGGGACTAACCCCCCGGCTCGAGTGGATCATGATGATGTGGAGGCCCCGCCTCCCTTCCCCGTTTGGGACGACCTTCCTCGGGGCGCCTACCGCGCTCCAGTTGATTTTGCATGACCTGGGATTTGCACCAGTGCAGTCGGACGGGGAAATCCTCGTGGCGTGCTGCCTGGAATGGGTCAAGAAAAACAAGGTCGCCAACCCGGCTGCGGTGGTCTTTGACCCGCGGCCGTGGACACGGATCGTGGGGCTGGCACCTGACGGCAACCACGTCCTGGTGGCCTCGGACACCTACCACTTGATCCTCACGAGGATGCTGGGCTCCCAACCACAACCGCTGGAGGAGGCGGATTTGGAGCTCACTACTAAGACCCTGCAACAACTTCTGTTTCGTGCGGCAGGCGCCAGGCAATCGCACACCTATTCTCCACTGGAAATGGAACAGGCCATCCGGGACCGCGAAGAGTGGATCCTTTCCGGATCGATTGAGGCCCCGGATGTCCTGGCAGTGGCCAACAAGTGGCGGCATTGGAAACCAGGGAAGATCAAAACCCAATTGCCGACATCTCAGAGAGCGTTGGAACAACACCTGAGGGCCAGGTGGTTGGAACGCCTCCTGGGATACTTCGTCCCCTTCCGGCACCAGATCCCCTACATGCACCAGGTGATGGGGGCCAGGGAGCTGGAGGAGTTTGGCCACCTCTTTGGTGATGCCCGATTCCGTACCATCCGGGCACACTGCTTGGCCTATGAGGGCATGCGCAAGATCGGCTTCCAGAACCTCCCCTGGACGGCTGGCGACGTCCGGTACCTCATGAACCAGGCGGTCACGTTGGAGGTCACTCCGGCGAAGCTCCAGAAGTGGTGGGGCACTTTGAAGTGGCTCTCCATTAAACTCGGCATGCTCAACGTTGACGAACACAAACAACTCCTGGAGAAGCGGAAAGCCATCCAGGAGACGCTGGTGGACACCCAGGTCAAGCCACAACGCAAGGCGGTGGTTCCGACCCGGGCAATTGTCTGGGCCCTGGAACAAGGGGCAGAAGGGGCCCCGCCGGAGAACCGGGTCCCGGAGCTGACCAAAGCAGTGGACAGGTACATCATGGCGATGGCCAGGTTCAACCTGGCCTGCAGTGCGCGCTTCAACGACGTGCAGCACACCTCGCCGCAGACGGTCAAGGCCACGAGCAACACCCTGGAGCTGCTGGCCTGGCAAACGAAGACCACGTCGGCAGTGGCCATCAAACGGAACCCGGTCCCGCTCATCGCCCCATTGTTCTCCTTCTCGGGGGCCAGATGGTGGATCCCCTTGGAGCGGTGGTGGAAGAGATTCAGGGCCTCGGAGGAGTTCCGCGAGATGGACTACCTGATCCCCACGATCAACAAGGACAGGACGGGCTTCATCCCCCGCCCAGGAACCCCAGACAGGTCCCTGAGGTGGCTTAAAGACGCCTTGGGGAAGCAAGGCGCGCCAGCCAAGGACGTGGCTGAACTCTCATGGTACTCCTTCCGGGTTTTCATGCCGGATTTGGCATTCCAGGCGCACATACCGAGGGACCAGCGCCAGTACCTGGGAAACTGGTTCAA